CAACTAATACTCAATAGCTATTCTGACATGGAGTTATATAAATGGATACCTACATTGCGTCCATACATACATGCATGTACTATATAAATAAATGTGCATAAAAAAACACCACCATGCCCGCTGCACTTTAATGTAGAATGGAAAAAACGCAGAGGCCCTCATCCTGCTTGTATGTGGTCTGAGGTCATTTTGATAGCGCTTTAGAGCTCAAACTGAGAAAGGTTTCTCATCTCGGTTACGACTCAATCTGCCCACAACAGAGGGTGTAAGTGCAACTCAGACATTGCTGACTTTTTTTAAGTCTTCATGTCTGTCTTTGTCTGTTTCTATACTGTATACAAAGCAGCTCTTGTCAAAAAGCACATTTGTATTGTTGGGATGGTTAAAAGAGCATTACAGTCAAGAACTAGAGTTCAACATGTAATGTCATATGTTACATGTGAAATGGTGTGTGATGAGTTTACAGCTGCTGGATGGGTTTTGGAAAGTATTGAAGAAGATAACGGAGCCCTTTGATATAAAAACATATGAGTATCATGTTACACAAAGAGCCGTTAAAGATATGCAAGATATCGACAAAATGCCCTTAGATCCCAGAGGGTTAATGACTGAGAAACCTTGTAGTGGAAACCAATCCTGACTGCTCATCTAGCCACCGGTCCACAAGCTGATAAATACAATCAAGCTATCATTAGTGTAACTATTACTACAAAACAGTAATGTAAGCAATCCATAATGATTTGAAGACAGCTTTTACAGATATTAAGCTTCCCAGCAGTTACATTGATTATCTAACTTCCTTTCATATTCACCAGCTAGCAGAAAATATATATATATATATATATATATAGGAGGCAAGTGGGAATATTTACAAGAGATATAGTGATGGTTGCATTTTAGCCAGTTTCCTTTTTACATGCATTTTATTTAGAGAACTTTGGCAGGCTCAAAGTTTTAAACACATTTAAAGTTTTATAGTGAAAGGTTGTTGTACAAGAATCCTACTCTTCTATTTTCATTTCAACATCTGTTTTCTGACAACACTTCTCAAAAACAAAGCTTTGACAGAGGGGTGACCAGTAGCCTTTTGGTAGGCCAAATGTGCCCCCAACTGGCAGGTCACAGTTTCAAATCCAAGGACTGCTCTGCTGGTGAGCCTGTGCTGCTCTTGACTGGGTATAGTTAGGCAGCAAAATGACATGTTTCTCTTGAATGGTCCGTAAACTACATAATGTCTTGGTAACTGGACTCTAGCCCAGAGATACATTCACATCCCAGTCGTGATGCACCAAAGAGTGCTGCCTGCTGTGCCATGAACCTACACTGCAGGTGTTTTGTCTGGGGGCGGGGGACCTAAAGAAACACAGCATATAGGTGGTCAGAAAACTAAGCTTGACCTGTCAAGGGCACAAATCTATCACTAGGCTGACAAACCAGGCTGCAGGTGGGAGCACAGGCTCTGGAAAGAAAAGGCAAATACAGGTCCCAAGAGAGGGAAAAGGAACTTTTTTCCAAAAAATAAAAAAAAAGAGTTCGAGAGTGCTTTCTAGAGCTTATATGGGAGCTCAGGATCTGATGGGCCTCAGAGAGGAAAACAAGGACCCGCCCCTCATGAAATCACTTCCAGTTAGTAATAATGACGGTGTAATTTGCTTGTTTACTCAATACTGTCATGTTTCAAGCAAGCCGATGCTCTCAAGGAGAGCCACTCTGCCATGCAACATATACAGTTAGCCTGAAGTGCTTATAGTAGATGACCTGTATAAGAATCACTGGCTTAGCAAGAGACTCCAGCATATAGCAGTGTGAACTGAGCACTGAATGGTGGCAACATTTTTTCTTAAGTAGGCTGATCACAGGTGATGCTGGATGCTCTGATTGCTAAGGAGGAGATCTATGTCTCCCTCTGGTGGCTGTAGCTGGTCTGGTAGATAACTCAGGCCCAGGCTCATCTGTTACAGTCTAATGTTGTGTTACTCTGAGTACTAATTTGAGTTTACATGTACTGGATGAAGATGGATTAGCTGATGGTGATCAATAAGACAATGGTTGATTTCAGTATTTGCAAAGTTGCATAGAAATGGAAATAATGCAGCTAACTTTCCTTTTGGAAACTAATAACAACAAATGACAGTATTTATTTCTTATTGCAAATATGTAAATATAATTGAAAATGTAGAAAAAAGTCAAAGTGGTCTGACTTATGCAGTATCAGCCTATCATAAAAATATAAAAATACATAAATATACATACATACATACATTAGCCATCAGTAGGAAAGGAGGCTTATGGTGTATTCGGCTATGCAGTCTTTTATTTATTTGTGAAAATAAAATAAGAACATCTTCTGTTCCATATTTAGATAAAGATGTCTACACATCTTTAATCTCACAAATAATTTTAAGAAAGTATTTGTCAAACAGCATCAAAAGAATGAAAACTTTAATGTGTTTAAGTTCAAAAAACAACATTAGTCGACCAGCACAAAAAGTATTCTTTACAGTTTGGTTTACAGACCAGAGCAGATATACAAGAAGACATTCAGACCATATTTGAAAAATCAAGCAAAACATGCATTTAATATTTGATTTGACATGTTCATATACAAAATATGGTATAAAAATATCCACAGAATGTGGATGACTACATGACTATATTAACTCAGGTAATATAGAATCCGTTCCTGTTTACGGCTTTACTGAACTGCTTTATAGTCGGAAACAGGGAAGAATCTCACTCGGGTGAAAACTTTCTCCTTTACGCTCTTCTCTTCATCTTCTCAGAGAAACATAATGCAGTGAAATCAAACTCCTCAGAGTCAGAGTCCTGTTTCAGAAAACAGAAGATCAAAACTGAAGTGGACAACTCCAGGTGATGTCTGAAGAAATTTGGGCCCAAAGTTTGTGTAATAATGAAGTTGTTACATAAAATAGTCTGACTATGTTGCGTGATGTCTTAGATTTTTTTTTTTTAAATATTTCTGAAATCAGGTTTTGTCTTTTAACAACATATGGTTAAAAATATATTGTGCAGGGCTTTGACAAAATAGTAACAAAAGAAAACTTATTTTGTCAGATTTTTCATGATTTTACCGTCACTAACACGCTCAGAAAACACATGTAGGTTCAGTGGTGGTTTTGGATATTAAATAAAGTGAATATATTTGTGTTTTAGTCGTGGTAACTCCTGGTTCCTATAACCACCACTGTAAAGAAATCTGTAAGCTTCTCTGGAATGAAAGATTTTTAATCACATGGCTCTGAATGACCTTGTTCACATCTCAGCAATGGAATTATGCAGAAATGTTGACAAATCAGTGAATCTCTTTTTTTACTTAGAAATGTAATGTGTCATTTGCATATGATTTTAGATATGACTCTACATATACAGTGCTGTGCAAAAGTAAGAGACCACTCTATTTATTTAATTTACATTCAAAATTACCAATATGTACGAGTTATTCACGTTTTTATGTCAGAAAAAGCAGCAAAAAATATACTTAACACAAAATTATTTAGTAAAAAGTTTAGTAAGTATAATAAACACACACACAGACATGCACACACACACACCAGGATGTCTACATGTTTTTATCTGTGTGAATATCAGCAACTGCTGATATTTATTCTAAGTGAGGAAACTGACCCCTGACCCTAAAAGGCTGCACTGTGTATGAGCTGCTGTTAAAACCATGTCGTCTTCTGAAGGTGTGATTCCCCCCCAAATTTTGTGTTTAGATTGTGGTTACAGATTAACAGTTTACTGTTCATCTGTTCAGCTCTGTTTACAATAGACCACATAGAACTGCAGTGAGGTTTAAACTGCTTAGAATCTAGGATTCTCATTAACCTTAATTAACTTATTATACAGTAACTACTATGATTATTCATGAACTATTGGTAATTACTCAGTCACTACTATGGATTATTGATTGATGAACAATTGGTTATTCAGTGACTATCATAAATTACTCAATAACTACCATAATATTGAATAACAACAATGAAACTACTATAAAACTGAAATATTAATAAGGTTCTGTGGTTGTGAGTGAGGTATTGAAGTGTTCACAGGCATACAGATGCTCTGAGTTTAAGGCAAGTTATGCTGATGATGTACAGTATGTGGTACTAAGCTACATTCAAAACTAAAAGAATTACCATTCTTCAGGTGCGGCACTGTTCTGGGGTGAGTTTCCCAGTAGTGGTTAATCTTATAGATTATTAAAGCTGCTTTGAAAGGAAAGTGCAGAAAACATGTTAATCTGGCAAATTATATATTTTTTGTAGTAGTTACCAATACTAGGCCTACAGACTGGCAGCTCCAGGAAAATAATTCAATTTAGACATTTAAATAACAGAAAAAATTATGGGGAAAAAAACATCAAGTAATATTTAAATTAATTTTACATTTGACTGCTATTCTTTTGTTTGTAATCTAGCAAACAGAGTAATCTTTTAGGTCTCCATTATGATGATATTGCTATAATTTAACACAAGTAAATATTGTTGCTGTTGTATTATTTGCGTGATTTTTTTTTTTTCAAATTGTGTTTTTATGGTGAATGGACCAAGAGGAATTGCTGTTTTTCCCACTAGTCATTTTGTTTAGGAAACAAAATGGCTTTATTTGTGTTGTAGACAGTGTAACTCCTGGCTCCTGTCACCACCACTGTAAAGAAATCTGAGTCAAACTACTCTGAATAACTTTATTTAAATTTGTGCTTTTAAGTCACACAGAAAGTTTGAAAAATTAGGGAAATTCCCATTTGAACTGTTTCAGGCACTTCAGTGGAATCAGTTAATAAGTATGATGATAATGTACCTGAACTTGAAGCTCCTCAGAGAAACTGTGGATGACAGACTGAGATGTTTTGCCTTGAAAAGCATTGAGAGAGGAACATGTTAGAAATGCGGCCTCATGTAAATGAAATGTGTCACATACTGATTGTTTCTGCATAAACTGACCGCTGCAGCTCGCTCTCCTCCAGGGCCAGATATTCCACATTAAACTCAAGCCCAGTGCCACTCCCATGACAACAACCAGCACATGCAGATGATGCATTGGAGGATCTAGAAAAAACAGAGATAAAGAATAAATGGTAGTTTGTGTAGACAATGATTTAAGAAGATAATAGAAACCTAATTAAACCTTGATGTTAATATTTTAGAAGCAAAATCTTGAGCACCCCCAACTGGAAGAAACACTCAACAAATAAAACTGCATAATCCAAATGATAGAAAACAAACTCAAATTGCAAAAAAGTTGAGATACAGGTGATGTAATCATGCTTAGAAATAAAATGAGCATCCAGGAAAGGTTTTATTCCTTTATAAGCAATAATGGGTTAAAGCCTTATAATATAATCCAGTAAAAGGAACATTTAAGGATTTTAGGTGTTTTGCCCTCTATGTTGCGTAATGCCATTAAAAAATCAGAATTCAGAGAAAAATCTGTACAAGTTTATAAGATTAAACATCAAATATGCCAATATATTTTTGATTGCATACAGGCAAAACAGAATTGTCTAATCACTGCTTTCTGTTTTTATTAGCATTTTACACACTATCCCAACTTTTTTGTAACTGAAATTTATAATTCAAACTTATACATCAAATAGAGCATAAAGTACACAGAAACACTTACTCAGTTCTACTGCTTTTCCATTCCCAGTGACCGACTCTCCAGGAGAAACTGACCCCTGTACTGGAGTTTGGAGCACTGATATGATTGACTGCCCTGGAAAATGTAATATATACAGTGGTAGAATAAACTGATATATCAGTATGATGACATTATAATAAAAGTAAAACAGTGAAACAGAACTGTGTCCATTATGCATCTAAAGTGTGACAGTGACATCTAATGGGTATTAAAAACTAAGCATCACTTTTACACTAGAATTGATATTATTAAGGTCAGCAGCAACAACACATTTCAGAATGGCTTCACATAATTGATTTTAAGAAATAAATAGATCTTACATGTTAAGAACACTGAAAACAATAAATTATTTATATTACCTGTGACAGATAAGAATGTAGCATTAGAAAACTTAATTGTTGTCTCTCCAGCCGCTGCACAGAAGTACACTCCTTCATCTTCTTTAGTGACACGTTCAATACTGACAGAAGTGAAATTCGCAATTCTGTTCATTTTAAATCTTGATTGGTCGAAAGGAGCAACAATTCTTGATTTCTTATCTTTAAACTGTGATCCCACTTCCACTGGAGCATGCCCCAGTATTTGTTTGTACCACCTCCTAACATCTGCATTTGAGTCATCTACAGGTGTGCAGTTGAGAGTGACCGGTTTACCGGGCTCAGCTGAGACGACCAACAGCTCAGAATTTCTCACAGCTTGAGCAGAATCTGTAAAACAAAGTTCAATCTATTCAAACAAAGTTCAGTCAATTAGAAAAACAATGATGAAACTGAAAACAAGCGTAATTGACAAGACTAAATATAAAAAGAATTTCTGTGGGTAACTTTATGAAACTTACACATCTTGTAGAGAAGTAAGATGATAATCACAGCTGGATCCATCATCAGAAAAACAACAGCTGTAATTTGAAACTTGAAGGCAAATATGAAGGCAAGAGTGTAACTGAGTAAAGCTTTAAACTGCATTAGCTTGCTGGGGTCTTATACTGAACCTCATTGGCTGGTAAAAGTCACATGGTTCTTTCTATTTGCTTGACTTGATCTGTTTGGCCACAACAATGTACCTATTGGCTCCATCTAGCCTCTGTAGAAAAACAGGCGAATGTAAGAAAGCCACGATATTTTCTTGGAAAGGTTTCAAGACCTGATCTGTTGTTGAATAAAGAATTATACACATACATGCATATATATATATATATATATATATATATATATATATATATATATATATATATATATATATATATATATATATGTAAACATTTCTTTTGGTTCTGTTGAAGAAATTTAGTCGCCTCTCAGTAGGAGACAGTCATGGGCTGAGAGGCCTGTAGAAAGTAACTGACGTAAATTCTCCTATTAAAGGGTCATATTACAATCAAGTGAGGCAGTTTTCCTGTCTGACCTTTCCACAGTAATTGATAATTATTGATCACATTCACAAGAGATCAATATGCTCCTTATATTGTAAATGTATCTCTGACCATTCTGTTTTCCTCTGTCTACTTACAGAATGACTGTATCTGTATGTTATCTGAGATTTCTAATTTTCAATAACATTCAATATTTACAAAGTCATCAGAACTTTGCCTTTCATGTAAACAAACATGGTTATAGATGATGCCTTAAAATAATATTTTATATGAAGGTTAGTAATAAGTCTCTATGTACAGGTAGCAAAGTTCAACGCTGAATATATGATATGTTAACATTAACAGTACATCATCAGTTATCATTTTATAAATGATAAATCCAGGGTGACCATGTAAAGAGTCCAGTACCATATTGAGTCAAATTCAGTATTGAAATAATAATATGCAGAAATGAATTTACAGTCTGATTTTTAATGAAAATGAATAAAGGTATGATGTGTAGGAAATACTTATCATGTTTGGTGATACACAGTCACAGTAATTTAGCAGAAATATGTAATAAAGTATAAATGAAAACTTTTAAGTAGACATCTACTTTTCATTTCAGAATATTTTATTGTTATTTTTTTGAAGACACATTTCAAACATTTACACTTCATACATGCCATTGCATGTATAGTACATAAGTGTGGCCGGATTATGTGGAGGCACAGCACGTTATTAAAAAAAAACAATTACATGTACTTACCATTAGGATTAAATTCCAAAACATATTTCAGCTTTGAAAAATCAATTTCTAGGCATTTTTTTTAAAGTTATTATTTCCTCCAGTTATTCCTGTTTGAGTTCATATAGTTCTTTTGGCAACTTATTCAGTTAAAATGGCATAAATAATGTTTCAAATGCAAATACATATAATTCCATCAGAACATATGTACATTGCTGCTGTCGGAAGAAAACCTCATGTCTCCATTTTTTGTTTTTTTTAAGTTTTTGACATAATTTAAAAATGCCTATTGCTGTTTACATTGTGTACTTTGAATACCATAAGCTACAGTTTATAGCATCAGCCACAATCTCTAAAGGCCTAAAGCTTCACTTTAAAGTAATTATATAGAAATTCTCACTACTAACTGAAACACATCTACATTTCCATCAACACAATATCAGACACCATCTGAGCTCATGAGCGCGTTTGCCACCCGTGAGATCTGTGAGTAACCACACACTCTAAAAATGTGTTCTCGCTTGGCTCTTTCAGAGAACTGACACTTCATACCAAACTAGACCGTTATTTTCAGTCATGCAGTTTTGAGCACAGAGCAAAGTGAAGCACATGACTGTAGATCCTGACTGAAATCAGCACAAACACAAATAAACAGATACAGATTACAAAGCTGACAGTAACAGAAAATATCCACAAACTTCACTTCTGCTGCTACAAGATAGAGAGTCCAGTGAGTCAGTAATTGTTATGGTCAGCAACTGAGAAGTATCTGACTTCAGAGTGAACACTGTGTCCAGAGCGTCCACTCTTCATTCTCAGGCTTTTGGCTGCATAATTCAGCTCCATAAAAATGACCTTCCCACAAGCAGCCACAGTGCAGTAGTAAGTTCCAGTATGGTGGTGGTCAAGGATGTTCTTGGAGAAGTTGTGCTGTGTGTAGAAGAGCTGATCTTACACTGACGGCTGCTGCTGTTCTGATGAGTGTAAATGATTTCAGGAAAGGATTGTCCTGCAGCAGCTCTGAACCACAGCACTCGGAGTTCTGCTGCTCTGATCTCAGAGAGGACCGTGCACTGCAGAGTGACCGACTCTCCTGGAGAAACTGACCCCTGTACTTGAATTTGGAGCACTGATATGTTTGATTGCCCTGGAAAATGAAAAATTGACAGTGTGAGAGAACCGGTCAGTGCAGTGTTGGAACAGCTTGAACAGTGTGTTTGGATATATATTAAAGGACTATACATATTAAGAGTTCTGAAAACAATAGTACTCTACAGATCTTACCTGTAACAGCTAAGAATGTGGCAGTAGAAAAGTTCATTGTTTTCTCTCCAGCCGCTGCACAGAAGTACATTCCTTCATCTTCTTTAGTGACACGTTCAATACTGAGAGAGACAAAACTCGCAATTCTGTCTATTTTAAATCTTGATTGGTCAAAAGGAGCTGAAATAACTGTGTCCCTAGTTTTAAACTTTGATCCCACTTCCAGTGGCGCATGCTCCAGTCTTTGTTTATATCACATCCTAACATCTGCATCTAACATCTCATCTGAGTCGGGCTCAGCTGAGACGACCAACGGCTCTGAATTTCAAACACATGCTTACTTCAGTAAAACTATTTGAAAGGAAATAAGAGAATGAAGTCCGGCCTGTTTTCACTGCCTGGTTTCATATGTGAACCTCACTGGCTAAAAAAAAAAGTCACATGATTTTTTTATTATTTTTAATGCTGTTTCATTTATAAACTTGTTTGGTCAGTAGACAACCATTGACCTTCTTTGAATATATATATATATATATATATATATATATATATATATATATATATATATATATATATATATATATATATATATATACACACACACACACACACACACACACACACACACACACACACACACACACACACATCACTGTTGTTGGAGCAAAACCATAATGTTAATTTTGCAGAAGAAGGAAAAAACCATCTTTATTTTCAATGTAAGTCAATGGAACCAGACTTTTTTCCAAGTAATTTTGGATTACTTGTAATTTCATGAAATTTACACACAATGTAAAAGACAATAGCCATTTTCAAATTCTGACAGAAACTGAAAAATGACAAAAATGGAGATACAAGGTTTTGTACCGACAACAGCGATACACATTATATATATATATATATATATATATATATATATATATATATATATATATATATATATATATAAACCCCTGTGTTGAATACTTTATTGCCCTTTCATTCCTTGCATTCACCTTATTGATATTTCATTCTATTTAATTACATAAAAATATTTTTTTTATAGGAATCATACATTTCAAACATTTGCACATATTGTTGAAGAACATTTTACAAGCATTTCAAACTTTCTTAAGAACATTTTATTAAAATCATTCAACAAATACATTTGTTTATGTATACATTTGAAATTTTACTCTTAGTAGAATAAATATGATGCCTAAGCTTTAAAAGATTGATCTTCAGCACGGAACAAATAACAACACAATACCCAATCTATATTTATAATGCACATTTTTATTTCAGTTAGAAAGTCTCTAAGTTCTTTGCACAAGAAGTTTGGTTAATAAGAAGATAGTAAGAAGTAAAGAAGGGGATAAAACTGCTATATATAGAGAACTATTCAGAGAAATATTGTCTATAAAATGTGTCACAATCCTGGATGCATCAATTAATAAATAAGCACAGGTGTCACTGTTATGCACAGCAGAATGCAGATCATAAGCATTCAGTGTAAGAAAGAATGAAAAGACTGAAGAGTGAAGAATCTTCCTTTGCCTTCACTAAAACTGTACCAAAACCTGAAGAGCGTTAGCTCTAATACATTGTATACATAATATATTAAAATATTTGCACTAAAAGCTTTAAAACCTTATTAAAGATATTATTATACTATTAAACATATAAAAATGTTTTGCCTTCATATAAAAGATAATGAAAATTCTATTGTTTTACGCTTTGTGAAGAAGTAATTTTATATTTTTTGTGTAATTTTAAATGGCATTGGATATTCAATGTGTTTATGATTAGTTTTCATTTCATTAAATTCAATACCACAAAGTTTCAGTTCTCGAAGTGGCCAACATGATTTGCATATTTCTATTATCTTGGAAATAAATGGTTACTTCCATTGTTTCATAAAAAAAAAAACATTGTAAATACATATATATTAAAAAATCGCCACAATAATAGTATCAAAAGAAGATTTCTGAAAAAAAAGTAATTGCTTTAATGTGACATTTTCCATTGACAGTTTTATATTTACAATCATGACAGTAAATTTCCATAAACATCACTAAATGCTAAATAGCTACATAAAATTAGCTTATGATATAACGGTTTCAACAAGAAATACATTTAATGTCTGAAAGTTATTTGGTGATGTTTTCAGCTGGATTGTATATGCTATAAGAAAAAAAAGTAAGAAAAAGAAAGAAAGAAAGAAATGTCTAGAAAACGCTGACAATTTTTATAAATACTTTAACTCTTTATTTTTCAGCAATATTGTGTTTCTGGGTCACTCTGTAGTCAGAAACAGGAAAGAATCTCACTCGGGTGAACATGCTCTCCTTCAGCAGTCATCTCTTGTCAGATAAATTTAAAGGTGCAAAACTGAACTCTTCATCGGAGTCCTAGTTCAGAATAATAAATAAATAAATAAATAAATAAACAATATGTTAATAAATAAGATTAGTACAATGAAAAGGCAAATATCAATCAAGTTATAAGATGTCTCTCTCTCTCTCTCTCTCTCTCTCTCTCTCTCTCTCTCTCTCTGTCTATTTATCTATTTTATTTTCTTAGAAGTGAAAGTAAGTTTGTTAGCAAGTTAGAAGTTAGTTTACCTCACAGCTCCAGATTATAACTGCAGGTGATTTTTTTTTTTTTTACATTTGATTTTCATTAAACCATTAAGATACATACATTGCAGACATGAGTTACATTGTTCACACAGAGCTTGAATAATTTCCAGCTTGTATAATCTATAGAAAATCAAAGCCAGCAGAACAGGACGCTCTGAACCAGCCTCACATGAGCCTACGGTCACCATGCCCACAGCCAAGTGTTGAGCAGAGGGGTATAAAGCCCCCCAGCATTGAACTGTGTATTAATGGAGCTCCAACCAATACCTTTGGGATGAGTAGAAGTGATTCAGAACTGATGATCCAGCATCAGTACCTGACCTCACTAATGCCCCTGTGGCCGAATTCTGCATTTTAGTGTCTCTGACCTCAGTAGAAACATTAGATGAGTGAGTGTCTAGAGATTTTTGTAAATGTAGTACATATGGGGGTCAACTGATGCTGTGTATCATATACTCAAACATGGAACTTGACAGCTGGGCCTGAATAGCTGCACTGATATGAACTGGTGTTAAAACCACACCGTCTTCTGGAGGTGTGAAAGTTTCAGCCTCTTTATCTCTTTATCTTATGTTTAGTGTGTGGTTGTGGATGCAGTCCACAGTGCAAATTTAGTCTGAGGAATGGGGGGTGTGGGGGGGGCACACTAAACATGTAGCAATTTAAATTTGAAACTGTGTAAACAAAGTAAACCCACAGTTAGACTTATTATGTTGATCTCATGCTTTATAGGAAATAAATGCAAAATCAAATACTATTATTAACAGGAATACTATCAAATATTCAGTATTGAAATTCAGTTTTGTTTTATTTTACAATGGCATTTTTTCAATTGTGTTACTAAATTGCTTGGTATGATCTGCATGTTGCTGTATATATTTTATCAAAATACCCCAATAATTGTAAATATGATGATAATTAAGACAAAACTATTGATAACTATTATGGAATAATTCAACAAATTATCATAATTCATCAAAAAAGTGCTGAAATCTCCAGGACAGATTAGCGCTGCTTTCTGTTTGTCATTTTACACTATAACTAAAATAAAAACAAGCTCTTTACACTATTCAGCAAGGTGTGGCTGGTAGTCTAGTGGTAGGAGGGCTTAGCCAGCTGGAAGGTCGCAGGTTCAGAACTGTTGAAGTTAGTAAACTGATAATAAGCTTTATAAATGAGTTTTATTTGTATAGTGCAAAGATGAACCTGCTGGTTTATCAGCACTTTCACAGCGATACATTCTATGTAGTACAGCAGTGCTTTCTTCTGTATCTGTTGGTGGAGCTCCATTAATTTGGTACATGTATAATATATACATACATACATACATCTTCTAAACCGCTTATCCTTCTGTGTCACGGTGGGGTGCTGGAGCCTATCCCAGCTGTCATTGGGTGGAAGGCAGGATACACCCTGGACAGTGTGTGAGTGTGTGATTGTGTATGTCTGTCTGTCTCTCCTGTGATGGACTGACGACCTGTATAATATATATATATTTTTTTATTAATGTATTTTTATTTTACGTGGTACAGCAGCTAGTTTTCTTAATGACAGCCACAATTCTGTCAGCTATGTGTTATGCCAGTGTCTTGAGTTCCTGTCCTGCTAACTATGGTAACGTACCTGGTCTTACAGCATCTCTGGGAAACTGTGGATGACAGACTGACATGTTTTGCCTTTAAATTCATTGAGAGGGAAATGAGTTAGAAATTCAGCAATGTGGTGGTAAATTCTGTAGCATTTTGTTCACCTCAATAAAGTTTTACGAAGACTCTGACATTCACCAATATTTTCTTATTTGGGATTTGTTCCTTGGTAAGAACAGAATTGCAGACTCAAGAGCACAAAGGTGCAAACAATTCTGAGGTTTAAGATATCAGAACAGCACATTTAAGTAAAAATGCAGAAAGAGGCCCATTATTATTATTATTATTATTATTATTATTATTATTATTATTATTATGAGGGAAACAGCTCAAATGAACACAGATTAATGTAAAGAAAAGACAGTAACACACACTCCCAAAGCTGCTCCCAGACAAAACACAGCAGGACCCACAGGTTCTTCTGAAATAAATAAATAAATAAATAAATAAATAAATAAATAAATAAATAAAAATACTCTATAAAAGTTTAAAATGTATAGTGTATGAAGTGTTTCTACATTAAATAAAGCATATTCCGTCAATCTCATTCGAGTTCCATAGTACCCACAAGGTTTTGCCTAAGACCTTTAAAACACATATCAGCTGAGCTCCTGATCCATTACAGCTCATCCAGATCACTTCACTCAGCTGAGGCAAACCCACTGTCTAGGATCTCTTACAACTCAGTGGGTTGAGGATCTTTTTCTTATGTTGCTCAGAAACTTTGCAAGAGCATTTTATATGAGTAATGCAAGCTCCAAGATCCAAATCAACAAAAAAACATTTGTAAAAATCCTCCACTCACCACTGCAGTGGTCACTGTTTCTCCTTTTACAGATTATAAAGGCTTGAGCAGAGATCACAACCACACACACTCCAAAAGCTGCTCCCAGACAGATCACATCAAGATCCACATGCTCCTCTGAGAGAGATAGATAAACAAACAAACAAATAAATAAATACTATATATTTGTGCGATAAAAAAATGAAGCCAAAAGATTATTTTGGAGTAGTTGTATTTTATTCAAGTGTTACTTATATTAAGTTTGAATTGAAGTCTTAATTGAATTACTTAATTACATTTAATTATTATATTAAATGGATAGATTCAATTATGTGGATGTAATTCTATAATTGTATGTGTAAATTTCTTTTTAATTTTTAAAACATCCAACCAAATTCATAAAATTTTAAATCAAACTGACCAGAACTCTAATTTGTCTTTGTGTGTGCAAGAACCAGTACTGCCCATTAGTCACCACACCACTGACCACCGCCTTATACACCCTGAACAAAAACTTTTAATCTAATTAAACATAGTTTGTACTTTTATAGAATGAATATGTTCATATAGAATATGTTTTGATATGTATGGTTTCTCAGTTCTTGTTTCACCTCTGAGCACTACATTAGCATGGAATGTAAAATATGAATAATGGAATAATGTAAATATGAGTGATTCTCAGATAAAGTACAGAACTCTGCAAAAGGCGTCAAAGGTATTTGTAATTTTATCTGAACAGTAAGTGCTTTTGCCAGTAAGAATTTGGTATCAAATGTAGCGAACACTGGCTGAAACTCTACCTCAAGCAGAGTGTTTACCCAAAGGTTAAGGGCCTTTTGGCTCCAGCAAGTCTGGGAGTGAGGCGTAAAGCTGTCGGCTTAATACCCCCAACCCCAGACTCAGTCAGATTTACAGCTGAATCGAGAACCAGCCCCCCAGCTCCTTTGACCTGGAGGGCAGCAGGACACCTATGCTGGAATGTGGCAGATGGCTCCCCAAAGCACTGTGGACAACTTTTTATCTTAAGTAACAGAAAGTACATTTCTAAGGTGTACGTCCACTGCATACTGCAACCATTCGTTAGAACTCTTTTTAACTAAACTAGACATACCGAAACGGATTTTGTACGACTTTGGACAGCAAAATTACAACTTTCTAAATTCCCTAGGGATCTCAAGTATGGACCCACAGCACCCCCAAGGGGTGAAACCGCAAATTACCACATCACCACCATAAGGACTTGTGCTTATAAGAAGCCAGAAACTTCGTGCTTTGTTGCTTGATTATCGACGTTTCTATGATCTGTAAGTAATACTACTTGTGGTATTAATCTTGTTGTTGGGTAGTACCTAAATATTACCGGTATCTTTTTCTATTATTACGCACTAGAAATACGTAGAGTATAACTTTGATAACAGTCAGACCCAACCATTTAATTGCTATGAGTTTAGACCATTGACCAAGATGTATCCTGAATGTGGTTTTCTTTTCTTTTGTTCCTTTGTTCCTTTCCTTTTATTGTTGATTTTATTTTTTTTTCATGCATTGGGTCATGTTCAGAGATGATAGTACCTGTGTTCTTTGACATGTATTGTGTATCAGGTAACAAGGGTTAAACTCTCTCTTAGAAACATGCCTGAATATCCTAATTGTTCATTCCTTGATTTTGAAAGTTAAACCAATTGGATGATATAGAAATGTTCTTTTTCTTGGTTTAAACTAGCTGAAACAAAGGAGGCAGTGATTTTGGGGAAGGCATTCCTCAAATTATGCACAACCAATCAGAGTGGGAAGCAAGCTAGTCAACCTTTGGTGAGCACTCTGGCACCACCTCCAAAGGGTAGGGCCTCCAGCCGAGCAAAACCAGAGTGCACCGCAAATGTGGAGAGTTCCTGCGTTCGCAACAAAAGTTTCTAAGTTTGTGCCGGCCTAGGTCAGAAAGACAGGTCAGAAGTATTAGGACGCTAAATTTTCAGATCTGAAACCTTTGTTTTGTAGCTTGCCTGTTCGTCTACACACCTTAAGTTTGAACCACCCTCAGAGAAGGAAGGTGGATATTTCTTGTCGGGCCAGGGAGAATATATCCACAACTTTCGATTCTGCTAAAGAGAGGTAGTTAGTTAAATTAGTATCACCAGCCTCAGAACCCTGATTGCAACCTGAACCTCGCCAGCGAAGTGGGAATGGTTCTGACACCACGGAGACCCAGCATTGCACCCAGAGCCACGCACTGATCTGTGAACAGATCGACCATCGAAAGGCTGCCCAAGCTCCACTGTCAGACGGCCACGAGACGCCTCCGCCCAATCACTGATGGGAAGGCGCGTGCCCGCACGGAGATGCAGCATCCACGGCCAGTGAGGAGAGGAACCATTGCATGAGCTCCAGCCTTCGATCGAGTCTGTCCTGAGACGACCCCTCCTGAAATCAGCCCCCGACTCCAACGTAAGCTGGTCCATCAATTTGCAGTCAGGGCCCTGACGGCAATTTATTTAATAAGAGAACTTTTATAGGTACATCCAGCCATATAGTTCTTCCCCTCCATACTTAGGTTAATTTGTACATTGTACATATACATATATATCTTTATACTTTTATTGTTTATTCTATTTTATATATTGTTTGTATATTTCCTGCTGCTCTGTCTTCTGTGCTGCTGTAACACCGCAATTTTCCCCGTTGTGGGATTAATAAAGGATTATCTTATCTTATCTTATCTTATCTTAATTCCCTAGAGGCTCTCCCAAGCGACTCCCCAAACCACACTGCCTTATACCATTTAGCCGTGAATCACTCTTAGCTTACTTGAGCTATTTTGTCTTTCATTACTATCACTTTGTTTTGTTTTGTTTTCTTGTTTTATTTTCTATTGTTTATCATTGAATGTAGTCCAAAAGTAGTTTGATATTTAGCCAATAAATTCCCTTTTCTGAAGCATCCTTGGTGCGAGCGTTTCTCTCTCTTGCCCTGGTCTGTAGACTTCAAATAAATCCAGGTTACCTCACACCCTCACATAAGGTTCTAGCAATAATAATATTAAAAATTGCAAAACCCCTTGCACAAATTAGAATTATAACAAATGTAAATATTACTACAATAAAAGTCTCTAATTACTCTATTATTATTGTTTGTACTAATTCTAAAATCATTGTTTTTTGAGCAAATGAACACTTACTGCCCAAATGAACTTATTTTTAAGATCTCTTAACAATTTTTAAGGCTTCTTAACAATTAATTAACTATAAGCAACCAATTAATAATACCTAGTAAATAGAAACATATTTGTAAGCATGCTTAGAAATGTGTTATAAAAGTTATTTGTGTTAATGTAGTGTTTCGTAAATGAATAATTAACTGTTGACAAATGAGTAAAATATCATTTAATTGTGATCTTTCAGTTACAAACATACTTGAAATATCAATATCCTTCTTAATCAAGGCCAGTGGTTATTATAATTATATTCCTCTTGTTTTAGATCTTGGAAATTCAATAATTAAAATCGTTTAAATGTATTTTATAATTTGCACACTATCTTTATGTAATTCACAAACTTTCATAAACTCCTCCTTTAACCATCATACAGATTATGCACATGGATTTAGGCCATTTCTACTCAACAAGCTAATATAAACAATGTTATTTGCCATTGAAAGCTGATGAATGCCTTCTTTAGCAGATTTGACTGTTAAATTCTGCTACATAAAGAACTTCTTTTTTTAACGTTCAAATACAATCATCTACTAATCACTGTGAAAGTAGTCATCAGTTGTTTGTGACATGCAAACAAATGTCACCATTTACTACAGCATTTGTTCATTTAGGATTCAGATAAATTTTACGCATTTATGTTGTTTAATTAAGGCGTCACAAAGACATTACAAATATGCTTATAACTGAAGAATTACAAACAATTAGTGTTTAATTCCATAGTCAACAAACAGTTAATAACTAGGCAACACTTCTTTCTGAGTGGTACTTTGTGGTTGATTAATAAACTCTTAACAGATTATCAGTAACACATCAACAACATATCAGTGAAATAACAGTAGTGAAGCATCTGAATACACTGAAGTAAATATCTTGTAGATGTTCTGTTGATACATTACTTACATTAAGTAGATGTATTGTTAATATGTTACTTCTATTACGCAAAACCTAACCTTACCCACAACTTAACCCTCACCCTGGCCCTAATCCTAACCTTAACCTCAACCCAAAACCTAATCCTAACCCTCACCCTGCCCTAATCCTAACCTTAACCTCAACCCAAAACCTAATCCTAACCCTCACCCTGCCCTAATCCTAACCTTAACCTCAACCCAAAACCTAATCCTAACCCTCACTCTGGCCCTAATCCTAACCCTAACCTTAACCCTTACCCAAAACCTAATCCTAACCCTCACTCTGGCCCTAATCCTAACCTTAACCTTAACCAAATGCATTCCAGTTAATTCAGTTCAGCTCCAGTTAAGATGTGTCTTTAACAGCTTGTGGAGGATATTGAGATGGTCAGTATTAGACCTGTTACATGTTCACTGACCTCTCAGGTTAAACATCTACAGATGTGAATTTGGACTCCAAATAAAGTGAAAACCAACTGAATTCAGCAGATTATAAACTAATTTTATTCACACAGTTAATTAAATCTGTTGATAATCTGCTGAATGTATTCACTGCTGCTACATCACTGATATATTGTTAATAGTGTTACTAAGAGAATGTTGAGTGTTTACTTCATCTAAAAGAGGAGCACTCAAAATAATATATTATTAATAACTATTTCACAGAAGACCATATGTGTTATGAATACATTTAAACAACAGTTCTAAGGCACTAGGGCATTATTAAATACTTGTCAGTACTTTAGCTGTTTTTAGTGTAATTTTCTCAGGTTCTTAAAGATTGTTAAATGATGCCATAATTTATTCAGTCATTATAGCTAAAGAATATTGTCACTTATTTCATGTCAATCACACAAATGATCAATGACCAATAACTTTAAACTTCTTAAATATTGCTTACTCAGCTCTACTGATGCTCCATTCCCAACAGCCAGAGCGCAGTAGTAAGTTCCAGTGTGGTGCTGGTTGAGG